TGATGCTTTGAAAAGGCGATGGAAGGATAAAAAGCTATCCTATTTTTTAGGTATATCTATGCCATGATTTCGAGCTTAAACCTTTCGAGGTAGTGGGTTTTTAAGATGTTAGTCAAAGATCGCATAATCATTGTAAAGTGTGACGCTCATATGAAGCAATTAATAAGCATCCCGATTTCTGATCTGCATAGAGCACTAGTAGTATGGAATTGCACACGAGGTTTTCATCATTTTATAGCAACGTGCGTACATGCAACTACTACAAGAACATTACGTACGCTTTTAGATAGAGGCTTTTATGCATATGATTCACGATGTTTTGAGTTTAAGTCACAAGACTTGAAATATGCGACTTTCCATACCATAAAATCTCGGACATCCGACAAGCTCCGGCCAGATAAAACCAGTCCAAAATCGTGTAATTGTGTTCCCACAATTGCACGGTTTCTGTGCTAATCATTAAGATAGGGGAGCAAGTTTAGAGCTAGCCCTTTAATGTAATTAATCCAGGTCAGAATACTAAAATAAGTTGCATAACACTAAAATACAACAGTCACTACGGAATGCGTATGATGCAGTTAATGTCCGGAATAACACAGTACAGTATCCTTGGGCAAAGCGATCAAACCTTTGCTTATGAGCGTCCAGCATTTGATTATGAGTTCATGTTCAATTTAAATCAACTTTAAGCCAATCGCACGAGTGCGTCACAATATTGACTTACCCAAAGAGTGACTTTGGATCAAGTAGAGAATCCCTTTTTCTTTTGCAAACTCATCGGGCATTTGGTTTAACCTATATAAACCAATTTTAAACAAGTTTTTGTAAGTATAAAATCACTTTTGTTGGGATCGCCTTCTTCATCCGAATTACATCACCTTTCGGTCTGCATGTCGTGGAAGGCACTCATGTTGCTCTTAATAAATCATCTTTTAATCGATGCCACGCTAAGTGAGCTCCAAAGCTTTGGATGGATGGAATTACGGAAAATTTGCATTCCGAAGTAGCTCTGGTAGCTGCCATAGGGACAAGCTTTTCTTCTAAGGGCTGCAGATTTGGCCACTGGACATCAAGCGTCGGTCAGTACTGTAGTGGCGTCTTTGCCTTTTTTATCAGTAACGAAAACCAGAATGACTTTTTAGCCTTCTCATACCGCGCCGAGAGAATATAGTTAGTCGATTAGGTGCACAAAGACATCCGTCTGGTGTCATCAACAGGCGCGGTGTCATCAATGGGTGTGCTGTAATGCTTGTCTTCAGGTTCGCGGAAATTGGGTGGCAGCAAACCATCCCCGAGAAGGCGAGGGCATAGGAGATAGGACATACCGTGCCCTACACTTTACACGAAATATAAGTGGAAAGCCGAGCGCTGTGTAAAATACTGCAGTTCTAGCTGAGTGATGATTGATGGTTCATAGACAGCAGAAAACTTGTCCGGAAGGGCAAAAAATTTCGGCAAAACCATTGCATTTGAGACACAGTCGGACTGGTACTTGACAATTAGCGCTTCTATAGGCTCCAGAATGGCAATGGCATTGTTTATCTTTATGACGGAGTATATGCCCGTGACAAGTAACTTGATCTTCTGTCGCTCAGAGTTCTGCACAGCCGTACCGACAACAAACTCGCGAGCGCTAACGGTACTGTGCAGCAGGCGCTCTGGTGCAAGCACCGACGACCACATGGCTTGAATGCCCCCTTAACGAATAATTGCGGGTCGAAAGAGAAAACACAAAAATTCAGCCTTCTGCTCATCCTACAGGCGTGCCTTAACGACGTGGCGACTGTAGAAAAGCTTTGCCAGATCCTTGCACGCGAAAAAGATGAGCATGTCCACAAATAAAATTTAGCATAGGATACGTTACCTCATTGTCGATGCACTTCCTGGTTTGCAACACGGAGAACACATACTTCACATACAGAATCATTCCATGAGGATAATAGCTCATGAAGTACCGCGATGGGTAGGCCTTGCAAAGCTGTTGCCAGGCATTCTTATTCGCCGAAGTAGTTTCATTTACTGTTCCAAAGAACCGTGACAGCACATTTAATCGAATACGCGCGTGATGTTCTGCGTAAATCAATCGTCGCAGTGACCTTGCTATCCTGTCAATACTGACTCGAGAAACGAGCATACTGTAGCAGACGTGGCGATGTAATTAAATACTGCGGTCGTTCTAGGTGTTCAACCAGACATCCTTTACCAGATATAAATGAGCGCCTTTTATGTGAATGTCAACATTTTCCTTGAAATGATTGTAGTACTTATTTGGCAATTCACAAATGTGCTTCTTGCGATTTTAGATAATGTTTTCGTCTAGGCGCAGTAAGCGAATATCTTCTTAGATATGAATATTTCAGTGCGCTAAAAAGACAACCCTGTGGCGTAGTGAGATATGTTTATATGAAGCTGGAATTTTCCTTTTTTGGCGCGATAGCGAAGGTACGCAAAGTTCTTGATGGACCGCTCAACATGGTATGACGCAGAGATCAACATGGCTATTACAACGTTAAGCCGCAGGGACGCCATTCTTGGACACGATCCAATAAGGGCGCTTCAAAAGGTCGAGCCCGTTCACAACGTAGCGAAATTCGGAGCGTTTATTTGGACGGTTTATCGCAGAGTCATCTTTTTTTGATATTTGATAAGACGTCGGCTGTAGCAACGCTACACAGCTCCTTAAGTCAGAGGAAGACTTAACGCTCTACAAGCAACTTAGTTCCAAAGAACTAACGACTTTACGAGTCAACAAGCTTTACAGCTTCAGATCCCTGCTCCAGGGGGGGCTAACGATTCAGTGAATCGACAGCACTTAGTGCTCAAGAGTAGCTACCTCAAGGGGGTGTTGCTAACTATTAGTGATCAGTGATCAACGATCAAGACGGCTCGCAAGCCACGTGTCCTTTAGATCAAAATGGGAACTGATTTTATTTTTGTTAAAGCCTATAGAATATCTTAATCCTACTCAAAGATCTTTCGTACCTAATGGCTGACACTCGTCAGCCCCTACAAACCGATAAGATATTCTATATCACCTTCACAAAGGGGTAACCTCAGGTGTGTAACACCTCTGGTACAAAGTGCCATAATTTCGTGCAACCCCGTTACACCCTCCCCCACCAGACTGACGTTTGCCAAAACGTCAATCGAACTTGTGTTCTCAGCGAGATCAGTGCGCGTACGGTGAACCTCACGGTAACGTACGCTCCAGCAGGATGTCCTCATCACCAAACGAGTCAAAGGCTCTGTGTGACTACCTCGGGATAGAGGAGGAGGTGGACTATGGTAGCGATACCAGTGTCCGCGGTGATACAGGGACAATGTCCGGCTCACTGATGCCGGAGGCACAACTTTCGAACACCCCAAATCCGTTCGCTGAACGTGGAGGTGCGAGCGCGCCACCAGCGCAGCGTGCAGCGTCTGGGTCTGATGAGACTATCATCACGAACCCGCTCGATGAGCAACAACAATTGCTTGTCCAAAGAGAAGAAAACGCTCAGCGTTATGTACAAATGGCTGCAACCCTTGAACGCCAGCGTGACTATGTGTTCACCCCACCCAGTGTGGAGGAACGTCTACGTCAAGCGGCCGGCCAAACATTGGCAACGTGGGTCATTGGCCATGGGACTAAGACTCCTGAGGAGGTGGTGAGCTGCCAGGCACTTCGTGAGAGGTACCTGGAGCCGCACGTAACGACTCAAAGTCAATACAAGGCACGCCTTGACATGCAAGCACGTGGTGCACCGGTTCCACCGATCAAGGGTATACCCATTCTCTTGCTCGCAGGCGAAACAGTGAGCGAAGAAGACGATGCCTTCATTCACTGGGTGCACTATGTGCGTCGCCTCAGCAACATTTTTGCTCTAAGGGCTAGTGCCCATGCGGCAGATGTGCGTCTTGAACGCAAGCTTCGGTATGATTATGCCAAGCTTAAGGCCAGAGGCCAATTGCGCAAGCGCACGCGCTATGCTTCGGCTACTAAGGTAGCCGCGAGTGCTGGTCAGTCTGTGGCCAACAACCCGCCAACCCGCACCACTAGTGGTGGGGAACGGCCTCGGTCTCGAGATGACCATGGCCACGATGCTCAAAAGCCTCCAAAGCATATGGGCAGTCTTGCCGAAGGGGTACCTCAAATTCCCATGAGTTTTCAGACTCAGGGTACCCACGCCACTTTACCAGATACTGGTATTGGCCCTGACGACGACGTCGTTTCAGTAGTCTCTCGACATGAAATTGACGACACCCATGCTCATCGAGCAAAGTCGGTGGCGGCCGGTGTACCGGTGGAGGCCCACGAGAAATTGGTTCTCGAAGTGAAGGGTCTTCAAGAGGCCTTGGGTAAGTCCCAGTGCATGCTGGATGCGATGCAAAGCCGCCTTCAGGCGATGGAGCAAGCTCAAACTCGGAGCGAGGCTCAGTTGGACTTGCTGATTCGTCTACAGCAATCCGGGGCAGTGCCCTTGTCGTCGGCGCAAGCGCCTCCAAGTTCACATGGGAAGGATCCCGGTACGGCTTAAGTAAGCCTACGTAGAACACGGGATGTGTGCGCAATTTGCGCGGGAGGTTTAGCGTATACGCAAGTCCCTTCTTGGCCGTGACCGTAAACGGTCCAATAAAGCGTGGACGCAACTTTGTCTTAAAGACAGCAGACACTACATTTGTAGGTAGATTTTTAGCATTGAGTAGTACTTGGTCTCCGACCTCATAACGTTCAATACAATTTCTGCCTTTGGCATCCGCTTGTTGTTTTTGGGTATCTTGGCTATCAGCCATTGCGTCACGCACATGTCTTAAGACATTCAATCGCGTTGCGAGAAACTCGCCTACCTGTTTTTGAACAGTAGCAGGGCTGATATCAGCAAGCCGATCGGCAACCTCTCCCCCCACCAAGCCCTGAATCACGTAGTGATAGCGTTAACGGAACGCGAGGGTGAGTGAGACCGTTTATATGGAACGGAGTAAAGCCTGTCGAGGCATGCACCGCGTTATTCAACGCAAACTCAACCAGAGGGAGCATTGTGCTCCAACGCCGTAGGCATACCAGCGCAAATACTGCGCAAAATGTCGTTGATGACGCGGTTAACACGTTCAGTCTGACCATCGGTCTGCGGATGATCCGCCGTGGACATGTCCAGTCGAGTGCCGAGCACTTTAAAGACGGACGTCCAAAACTTACCCGTAAAACGGGGGTCTCTATCCGAGACGATTGCCACAGGCAATCCGTGTTGTCGAAACACACGATCCATGAACAGCTTTGCTGTTCCTTCTCCATCAATGGAGTCCGGCACTGCCGCTAAGTGAGCCATCTTGCTCAATCGGTCAACAAAGACCACAATCCCAGTGTTGCCTGCCGCATCACGCGGTAGGCCAAACACAAAGTCCATACTAATGGACTCCCACAACCAGAGGGTACTGGCAAACTAGCCAGCGGCGCCGCCGCATGTGCCGAGGGTTTCACCCTTTGACACGTTTCACACGTGCGTACATAGGTACCAACCCATTTATACAACTTGGGCCACCAATAATGGCTCACCGAGCTGTAGGTCTTCTCACGACCTAAATGACCACTTAAAGCAGTATCATGTGCCTCATAGAGGATTCGATACTTTAATTCCTCATCATGAGGTACAGCGATACGAGGCTTATCCTCAATATCCGTGCGATAGCACAACAGGCCATTATCGATGGAATATCGATGTAGCCTCTCACGTAAATGTGCCGACAACTCGATGTCCGAGTCTTTAAACTCATCGCTCCCAAGAGCACGTAGCAAAGCTACACACTGATCATCCTTAGCATATGCCGCACGGATTAAGTCAGGGAATGACGACGACAGAGTCGTAACGTGAGCAAGCTCATAGTCAGATCGACGCGATAACACGTCAGCCAAAACATTCTGTTTACCCGGCTTATAATTCACCTCAAATTTATACTCCGCGAAAAAGGAGAGCCAACGAGCCATTCTCTGCGAGAGATGAGGCAACTGTGTCGCATTGCGTAACGACGGATGATCGGTATAGATCACAAACGGCTTTGAGCCCAACAGGTGTACCCTGAACTTAACAAGGGCATACTTCATCGCAAGTATCTCCTTTTCATGAACTGGATAGTTCTTCTCTGCAGCTTTCAGCTGGCGAGACTCAAACGCGATGACGCGTTCGCGTCCGTCGACATCTGTTTGTAACAGAGCACTGCCTATGGCAAAGTCAGATACGTCACAGACGACACTGAAAGGCCGACCAGAATCGGGCAAAGCCAATGTTGGCGCCTGAAGGAGACTCTCCTTAATAGCTTCAAAAGCATTATGTTCGGTGTTACCCCAACACCATTCGACATCCTTTTTTAGGAGATTCGACAATGTCCTAGCCATATCTGCGTAATTTGGATTGTACTTATGTAAGTAATTGGCAAGGCCAAGCCACTTACGCAGGTCCTTTTGGTTCTTGGGAATTGACCTATCGACTATGGCTTTCACCTTAGCGGGATCCGCTCGAAGGCCTCGCTTCCCAAAGAAGCACCCTAGAAAGGGAATCTCTTCTGCACCAAAGATGCACTTCGACGCGTTAGCATACAACTTATTCGTTCGCATACACTCGAGCACAGCTCGTAAATGATCAATGTGGTTATCCACATCTGATCGCTCATTCATTGCACGACTATGGACAAAAATGTCATCAAAGTACGTTTGTGCATAGCCTCGATGAGGTCTATATAGTTGCGTAATAAGCCGGTTAAACGTAGCCGGGGCGTTAGATAGCCCCTGTGGCATAACAAGCCACTCCCAGAGCATACCGCTCGGAGTACCCACCGCTGTCAGCGGAATATCACTTGCTCGCATAAGCAGTTGGTAATAACCATCGACTAAGTCGAGTGCACTGTACAATGTACATCCTGCCATATTGTTCTGAAGCACATCCTTTCTAGGAATAGGCGTCTGCGCCGGTATAGTGGCTGCATTAAGCTTATTATAAGCATACACAATACGCCACTTGCCATTTGGCTTTTTGACACAAAATGTCGGTGTTGAATGGGGAGGTTTACTCTCACGAACCATTCCAGCCGCGTGCTTAGCACGAAAGAATTCTTCAATGACGTTACACTGTTCTTTAGGCAAAGGCCACTGCCGTGTTACACAGTATTTAGTTCCAGGAACTAAGTCAATCTCATGACGTACACCTCTATCGGGAGGTAAGGCAGAAGGTGGGTTGTGACACACCACATCTTGAAATTCCTTAACTAAAGGATAGAACGGATCCAAAGGATCTTTAAGGATCGAAGGTCCACTTGTGCACTAAGTGCCGCCTTCGTATCCTCTAGGACAGACTCATCCATTAACGAGGAAGAATTCAACTCAGTATCAGGTCTAATGACCGCTAGATCGGATAACTCTCCTGCCTTCAAGGCCTGGCTAAACTCGCCACCAGACATTTCGTCTAGCTCACAAAGAGCGTCCACAAATGGAAGGGGTTCAAGGCAAACACTGCCATCAACCCAACCAGTCACTCCATTAACAAGTGTATATAGTGTATTACTATTATCACTATGTGACTGTGAGGACGCCTGGCGCTTAAAAGTAGCTACCCGGCGTCTCAATCGTCTCTTCGAGACCTTACACCCCTTAGGGGTCGGGACAATATTGTCCCCATGGTTACTACTAACCATATTACGCTCTATACGAGAGCTTTTGTCTTGACCGACATCCGGTGAAGTGCTACATAACTCGAACACTTCACCCAGTGGATTGGAACGTGCCACTCCACGTGTATTATGCGGGCCTAGCCCCAAATTTAACGGCGTCTCGCCAATAAGGTCATTACCGACATTAAGCGTGGTGCCCTCACGGCCGTCCACACTATACGGCGTATCGCCAACAATATCTTTACTGACATTAGGTGTGGTGCCCTCACGGCCGCCCACACTATATGGCGAATCGCCAACAACGCCATTACCGACGTTAAGCGTGGTGCCTTCACGGCCGCCCACACTAAATGGCATATGGCCAACAATGTCATTACCGGCATTCAGTGCGGTGCTCTCACGGCCGACCGCACTCGGTGTAGTTTCACGTGCCACCATACACACATTAAAGGAATCACATCCTTGATCACTCGGCCCTAGGCCAACCATGCTTTCAGCATGCAGTGACTCGTTATCACAACGAGTTACACTCAACGGAGTACGTGCCGTTTCACTAGACGAGCTAGGCTCGAAACTTATGTTTGTAACATTGGAGTTAGATAACTCAGACATTCCAATATCCAGCACATTGACATCTTCTGTCAAAGGCTCGCGCCAATAGCGCTTCTGTTACCTAGTAAAGGTGGGTACATGACTCTCCAAAGCTTCGCTAGGAACATTGCGCGTGGCGCCTAAGGTCTTAGACCTCCAATCAGCCCATGGCTCATGGCGCTCAAGCCAAGCCATACCTAGGATCAGATCATATCTCGAGTTCAAATCTAGGACAAGACAGCGCTCAATACTGTCAAAGTCTAAAAACTTTATACCTAAGTTCAATGGAACTTTTAGGCACAGTTACGCGACTTCCAGTCGCTAAACGAACCGTGATAGAATCACCCTCATGCGCTGTAAGCGCCTCATCATAACGCTGACTTCCCTCAAGGGAACGGCGTCGAGCATAATTGCAAGACGCTCCCGAATCGATCAAAATGATCCATGGCTTATCAAAGCCCTTAATTTTCGCCTCGGCGACCAACAAGCCAGACTTGTATCCACGCACCATACCCGTAGGTATGGTACTCTTTGGGGCTAAGCCCTGCATTCCTTTACCTTCTAAAGGTTCAACAGAACTCAGTTCTTCCCCAGTAGGGCGCCCCGCGCCTACTGGGTGTCGGCATTTCCCCGTGCCATACCAGACTTCTGACTCGGGGTCGAGTGTTGGCTCGTAGCCTGGCGTTGCTTACGCAAAGGGCAACCAGGCCGCAAGTGTTTAGTGCTTCCGCACGTAAAACATCGTCGTACGACGTGTTGCTGCTCCGCAGCTTGAAGCTCAGCTTCATCCTCCATCTTCAGCATAGCTGAGATCCATCGGTTCCGGCCTATTATAGGCAGTGGTACCCGAATAGTTTGCTCTCACAGAGCGAGGATTGTATCCATTCCAACCAAGTCTGGCCGACTTGAAGTTATGCTCAGCATAAGAGCAATTCTCACAGCCTCTTCAAACGTAGAGGGGTGAACCCGAAAAACCTCGGTTCTGGCAATGCCAGTACGTAGACCTTCCATGAATATAGTCACATGGACTGCTTCAGGCAGAGGGTCAGACTGCATTGCAGCCATGAGCGTTCGCAGCTCTTGGACATAGTCCGATAATTCATTCTTACCCTGGCGGGTAGAAATAAAGCGTGAACGCACGCGGTAAGCCTGGTTAGGTGGAGAAAACACCTGTACCAATTGTGACTTGAGCGACTCCTATGTAGGAAACGCTATGTCCACCGACGTGCTACACATCAAGGCCCATTCTCTAGCTCTACCATCGAGCTTCGAGATAGCCAGCGAGACCTGTTGATGGTCAAGCGTGATCAGGCCTGATCTCATGGCCATCTCGATCTCACGGATCCAGAGGATGAGGTTTCCCCCCTCCTTACCGGAGTAGTTTTTACTTCCACTCTAAGTGGACGAGGCTTAGCCTCTTCGTCTGGTACAGACACGTAGCGTGTAGGCATAGCCGACGCTATTTGGTCTTGGACCTGCCGTAAAAGGGTCGCTTCATACTGCATGAAGCTTTCAACACATGCATTAAGCACTTCAGGACCTTGTGAAACAAGGAACTCCACGTTCTCTGTACCCAAAGATGCGGTCAGCTTATCAAGCGCGACCTTTTGGGCCTCAGATAGGGGAGTGGAGTTTTCCATCCTCACATAGGATCAGTCTTAAAGACTCAGGCGTAGATTGACTACAAGTGCTACCGAGTGTAGCGGAGCTACACAGCTAAGGAAGACTTAACGCTCTACGAGCAACTTAGTTCCAAAGAACTAACGACTTTACGAGTCAACAAGCTTTACAGCTTCAGATCCCTGTTCCAGGGTGCCTAACGATTCAGTGAATCGACAGCACTCAGTGCTCAAGAGTAGCTACCTCAAGGAGGTGTTGCTAACTATTAGTGATCAGAGATCAACGATCAAGACGGCTCGCAAGCCACGTGTCTCTTCGATCAAAATGGGAACTGATTTTATTTTTGTTAAAGACTATAGAATATCTTAATCCTACTCAAAGATCTTTCGTATCTAATGGCTGACACTCGTCAGCCCCTACAAACCGATAAGATATTCTATATCACCTTCAAAGTAGGGTGCCCTCAGGTGTGTAACACCTCTGGTACAAAGTACCATAATTTCGTGCAATCCCGTTACATCGGCTGTAACGGGGC